AAGAGTGAGATTAACTCTCTAAATTTGAAGAGCCACCACTCTCTATTAAGCATCTCCAAAATACTCTTTAAAGGTGGAATGCTTTGTATTTGAAAGAGTCAATTCTCAAAATTATGTTTTAATAATCCTAATAATATTTTAAAATAAAGAATGAGTTTGACTCTTCAAATTAAACACATTCAAATTTTCAATACATTATACTCCATATATTGATTTTAACAAAAATTATAAGGAAAATGGACTAAAATAATGTAATAATTTGAATGGAAGTTGGCGAATATAAATGATAGAAAAATAATAAACACACATTGGGAGAAGTAGAATTAAGTGTTAAAGATAAAGAAATTGTTGGAATATTTAAAAAATTTTACTCTCTAAATTTATAGATACTATCTAAGTTACAAATATGCTCTTTCAAAATAAAGAGTTATTTAAAGATGCTCTTAGGATTTATGGTACTGGCACGTTTCTAGATGGTGATCCAATTTGTGTATGTTGGCTTAGCTTAGAAAAGAAAGTTTTAAGATGTTGAATAAGTAACTTATTTCTAATTGTAATGGATTTTTTTTATCTGTTTATTAAATACTAATTTCTAAAGATGTACGACTAAGTCAGTTTTTCTTCCTTTTAGTTAAAAAAAAAAAAAAAAAAACTTATTTATTTTTTTAATAATCGTGATCAATTAAAAAAAAGTGTCTTTTTGGTAAAAGTAAAGATGCTAGAATAAAGTTAACTTTTTCTACATTTTAAGTAAACAAAGTTAACTACTTAAGAAAAATAAATAACTTGTGGTCAACGGAAAATTAAATATTTTAAAACTTAATCAGCTACTTATAAGCAGTCATAACTTAATTTTTTTAAGCTTAGCCAAATTTGGCACATTTTATTCTTGCGGATCCCACGCTCATCTAAGTACAAGTCAATTATGTGGACAAACATTTTCTGACAAAATAGTTTAATCCTTACGAGACCAAGGCAGATATATCAGTGGGGGAACGCTTAGTCTGAAACATCACTTTGTCATGTAGTTTTCAAGATGCTTTTTTGAGACTCCAACATTATCATTTTCCATTGAGTTATTGAACCTAGTAGAACAAGGACTCCTCAGGGTGAATGCTATTGATGAGGCAATCCTGTCTGTGGACCGTTGGAAAAATAATTAGTTGCAATAACGTTCAGAACAATAAAATGTAAAAATATAAAACTTATCATTCGATCGAGTCTCGTGAAAGTACAATGTCCTAAAGTGAAATTGCTTATTGATAACTGCTGTGAATTCCGTGGACAATCACTCACAGGATACAACGATAGTAAACCCTTGTGCAGCAATCACGAATATTTTTTAGAACTCTCAAAGGTGCTCCAGGATATATGTAAAAATCGAGTATAAAATTCAGAACAAGAGAAATAAGATTTCTTTTCAAATGATTTTTTGTTTTCTTTGATGTGTGTCTTTTCCAAAGCAAGACATGAGTTTATATAGTTGAAACTGGAAGTAACTATCTCTTCCATGACTAGAGAATAATACAAAATGTTAATGACTGTGAGTAGTGGTATTTAATAACTGTTAGTAGTGGGTTGTTATAAAAAATGATAGAAGATACTGGTTAGTTTGACCCCTTAAATAATTTCTAAAATAAATGAAATAATAATAATTATTTATTTATTTATTTATTTTTATTTTTAAGTTAAGGAAACCCAAGAGGCCACAGCCCAAGGCCTCAATAGTTTGACCCCTTAAATAATTTCTAAAATAAATGAAATAATAATAATAATAATAATAATAATAATAATAATAAAAATAATAATAATAATAATAATAATTATTATTATAATATATTTTTTTTAAGTTAAGGAAACCCAAGAGCTCACAACCCAAGGCCTCAATCAAGACTTTTTAATAATTACGTGGGAAGTGACTCGAATCCCTGACGTCACATACAAATGCTATTTCCCACCACTTGGACACTTCATCTAATTTAATTATTTCTTTCACATTTTATATTTATATTATAAATATATAACATGGACACATTATATGAATTGCGCTGAGCCCAAGGGAAAGAACGGAAAAGACGGACTAGCATGAGAACGGGAACCGAGCTAGAATCCGACCTGGTCCCTAACGTGATAGAAGTCAGCATTCTTTGTGACAAATTCTTGATACTAAGACCCTTGTTCGGTACCAATTAAAACAAAAATTTGGACCGTTGGGCGCAATGTTTATAGAGACTAATTTGAAGTTCTGGCCACATCAATCGGACCCACGTAGCTTGCGTGTGTTATCTTTGATCCGTATCAACATTGCACATTGACCGTTTTAACCCTCATGAATATGGTTTGAATTTATTCCCATTTGTTCCACGTGAGTTGTGCAATATGAGGGCAAAATTGGGAGTTGAGGTGGTAAATGCTACTGCATTTGTCTAAATACTTGTCAGCCTTGCAAGTCTAGCATTCCTTCGAGCAAGATACTTATCAATAATAAATAGAAATCAGATGGAGACCTATATCTTGTTGCAATGTTATCTACAAAGAGATCACTAAAATCCTTACTTCGAGATTGAGGCCTATCTTGGGTAGCATTGTGGATCGTGCATAAGCCGCTTTTTTTAAAGGTAGGAGTATGACGGAAAATATCCATCTTGCCCAAGAACTCATGAGACAATATAATAGGAAGATGGTTGCTTCTAGATGCCTCTTAAAGATTGATCTAAGGAAAGTTTATGATTCGATGAGTTGGGATTTCCTTAAAGAAGTTCTTGAAGGGTTGTGCTTTCCTTCGAGATTTATACAATGGGTAATAGAATGTGTTACTTCTCCAACATATACGGCCTTTAATGGGAGTATACATGGCTTCTTCAAAGGTGGGAAAGGCCTCCGGCAAGGTGACCCTTTATCACCCTTCTTGTTTGTGTTTTGTCTTAAATATTTTTCAAGAATGGTTAAGACTGTCTCAAATGGTAGTGAGCTCAAGTTTCACCCTAACTGTGGCCCCTTAAAGATTACTCATTTAGCTTTTGCGGATGACTTGATGCTCTTTGCAAGAGGAGATGTTATATCGATGCAAATTTTAATGGATTGCCTTTTCAATTTTGGTCTTGCATCGGGTTCGAGGATGAACATTTTAAAATCCAGTTTGTTCACGACTGGTATTCATGGACAAGAGCTTGATGATATCCTTGAATTCACAAATTTCCAAAGGGTACTGTGCCATTCCATTATTTGGGTATCCCTATTGCTTCGAAAATGCTCAAAGTTAGTTGTTATGCTCTGTTTCTTGAAAAAATTGTAGCTTATATTAGTGCTTGGAATTGCTTCTCTTTATCTTATACCGGTAAGGTGGAACTTATTAGGGTGGTTCTTCAAGGTGATGAATGCTTTTGGCTTTCTATTTTTTCGATCCTGGGTACAATTATTTCTAGAATTATTAGTCTTTGTCGGAAATTTCTTTGGAGTTCCAAAAAGCTTTTGGTAGCTTGGAGGGATGTTTGCCTACCGAAAGATGAAGGAGGTCTCGGGTTCAAAGATATGAAGAGTAGGAATTCTATTTTACTTGCTAAGACCTTGTTTGGCTCCAATTTTGTAGCAATGGAATGAGTGGAATAGTGTTTTTTTTTTTTTTTTTTTTTTTTGGAAAAATGAGTGGTTAAAAAAAAAGGAAAAGTTTTCGATGTAATATAATTTTATGGAAGATTGAGTGATTGAAAATAGAAGAGAAAAAATGAAATGTAATGGAATGAAAATTTATGGAGGCCAAACGGTGGCTAAATCTCTTTGGAATATCCATCAAAAAAGGAAACTCTTTGGATGCGTTGGGTTAATCAATTTTATCTTAAAGGAGCTAGTATTTGGGAGGTTTCACGACAGAAAGACGACTCTCCTCTATTCAAACAGTTGCTGGAAATCAGGGATTCAATGTTAAAATTGTTGTTTCTGTCCATATTTATACACGGGGACTGACCGTGCAGTTCGGCCAAGTGGAGGGGAGAAATAGCTTGATTTCTCCGGGTCGATTAGCCTCAAATCAACAAGATGAGACAATTCAGGCAGACGCAATTCCATGGCCTATTACTGAAGCAGTTTTGGACAGATTCAATCCCTGGTCTACAGCGGAAAATTTTTGCGCGAGTAGAGCATATGATTTTGTTTCCGGCCAAGAGGAAGTAAAAGAATTCGGGCAATAGATGTTTGGAGCTCTTGCATAACACCGGAGCACTCTTTTTAGCTTTGGTTAGAAGTCCAATCTAAACTCCTTACTAAAGATAAATTGCAATACTTGGAGATTGACCGGAATTGTGTTCTTTGTGGACATATGGTGGAAACAAGCCAGCACCTCTTCTTTGAGCGTTCTTTCACGTCATCCTTATTGGGAAAGATCAAACAGTGGCTTGGTATTAGAAGATCTATGTCTACACTTTCCAGTGCGTTGAAGTGAATAAAAAAAGAGGCTCGTGGGACATCGTGGCTTAGCACGGCCAAGAGGATTGCTCTTGCTAGTACCATTTATTACATTTGGTTTGCTAGGAATGGAAAGATCTTTGAAGACCTTAGACCATATTTGGATTACATTGTAACATGAATCAAGACATACGTATACAAAGTCACGTTCTCTTTGTATCCATATGTCTTGATTCATTGTGAGTCTTTAGTGTCGGGTCATTGATATTTTTTTGTTCATATTTTTGTTCCTTTTGTTTTGCCTGGGTATGCTCGACGTAAATGTATGAAACTTTTATTTTGTCTTACCAAGGTATGCCTAGCGTACTTGTACATGAAATTTTGATCAATAAAATTTTATATTTATCGATAAAAAAAAATAAATCAGAGGGAGAATACTAAAAGCCGCCAATTTATATATTTTGGAATGATAGACTTCAAGACAAAGGACGAATCACTTCCATGTCTAGCGTCGACTCTACTTGCAATCAAGTAGATCACGCATGTGAACAAGGAAAAAAAATTAACAATCAAATTGGACTAAAAATGGAAGACAAATATTACAATTTTAAATTATAAGAAAAAATGTTTCCGTAACAATTAGGGACGAGCTAAATATTATTTACTCATCTAACGAGCAATAAATTGAAAAAACGACAAAATTTTGGTGGACAGCAAATGAAAGCAACAAGGAATTAAAACCTAACAAAGCGCTTCTACAATAAGCTTCTTCGATATGCCGTCGGCGCAGTTGGCCGCACCAAATATGCTTTCCGATCCTGTAACCGTACAAGATTCTTTCCCAACACAGGCATTCTGAACTATTGATAGTGCGTCATTTCGGCCCGTGCAGCTGCCATTTTCGTATGACCCACAAGCTCCTTGTACGTCGCCAAAGCTAGCAAATTTGATTGCAGAAATGGGACGTCCCTGGCACGATAATTCCATTTCCTTGTTCTCGTAGGCAATGCCGCATGCTGTTCCAACTCTAATAGTTTGGAAGTTGACAAGAGTCGGGTTTCCTCCAAATTCCTCAAAGAGCACCAATTCGTTAACATCATCATTTATGAAGGAACGCGGAACGTGGTACCTGCAATTATTGTATTGTAAGTATATCTTTCGATTTTCTCTGCAAAAATTATTAACAACAAAGATTGTGATAGACCAACCATCTTTGAGTAGGTTGACCACAGTTCGTGTCACATTTACTGCTGTAATACGAACCGCGATAATCACAGACATCAGTCGAACATCCGTCATCTTCTGCCATATAACTTGGCCAGTAGCGACCGATACTATTTCCATTCACCCAAGCGACACCTTTGCCTAAACCTTGCATATCTAAAGCAATTGGATCTTCTCCTAAAGGAGCCTTGAATGTAGTCTGAGAATGAAATTAATTAAGAAAAATATATATCATCCATATTTGCTTAAAGTGTTTAAAAGAAAGAGCATAATACTCGATCGATTTACCTTGTACCATGTCAACATCCTATTAATAGGAAGATCTTCAGTATTCCATGGAGCAGTAAATTTACCATCTGAACTGTAGATTTTGTTATCCAAGCCGTGCAATCCAACCTTGTACGACCACTTGTGCGATGACAGATCTTTTATGATTGTCTCGTCGCCTTTCCTACCAATGATCTCGACTGGTCCAGATATTCCAGCTTGTACAACATCAAACTTCGGACCATAGTTCTGAAAACCAATGGTTGCACTAAGTAATGTTATTTGATTCATTCCCGGGTTCAGTTTAACCTTCTTCTCAAATACGTAGTTGGTTACACCATATGTTGCCCACTGAGAACCTGCCAACAACATAATTTTTTCATGAATAGATTGCAAAATTCAAGCTCGATTGATCGCATAGAATAGTGAGATTTATTACCAAGATATTCGCCATTTATATAAACGTGCAAAATATGTCCAGTTGCATTGACGCGAATGCTCATATCATCGGTCCAGATAGGATCATCCTTGTCGAGTTTAACGCTGTTTGGAAATTATATGTAAGAATTCAAAAAAATTATCTCAAAGAAAAACTATGGAAAAATTAACTACTATGTACTAACCTGGGCATGTACCACAAATAGTCACTAACATCATTTGCAACCTTTTGATCCACAATCATGTTTGTAGAAACTTGTCCCTTTCCTTGAACCGTGGCTTGTTCAAGATTAATCTCGGGTCTCCAACTCCATTTCAAAGAGGCGGGTTCGTCCTCAGCCTCATTCGACTTCTTCACCATCAAATTAGTCTGAGTGTTTAGCTTAGCCGTGTTGTAAACTTCTGTCTTACAATCGGGAAGAATACTGACGGACCATGCAGGTACATTGTAGTCAACTCCTTGATAATTTACCGTAGCATCACTTGTCTCATTTGCATTGCCAAAGAAACAGCTCGATGTGTTATCGAGGGTATAAACAGTTCCCTGTCGATACATATTCAAGTAAAAAATATATCTTACTGTGCAAAACATATTAAAAAAGAGAGAGGATGATTTGATACTTACATATAAAGAATTTCCATAGTCAGTATTAGTTATATTTCCATAAGTGAGAGTCTTTTCCATTGACATCAAAATATTATGAAGCTGAGTCAAATGCCCGTATTTTGGTTGATTCGGACTACCGTATTCGTTGAGGGGTGCATCATAATCGTAGGTTGTGGTAATGTATGGGCCACCAGCTGTTCTTCCAAAGTTTGTTCCACCGTGGTACTGAAATTCAATTATAATTAAAATATCTATTAGCTCGGGATAAAAAAGGCAAAAAAAGAAGCAGTATTTAGTGTAAATTTTGATCTTCATACTGACCATGTAATAATTCTGTACCGCGCCACCATTCTGATAAAACCGAGCAACAGCGAAGGCAACATCTTCAGCTGTTCTGTGAGGATCTAAACCACCCCAATTCTTAAACCTAAATTTTGAACATATGTTATTAATTTACTCGAAGTTGATTAATATAATCAGGAAAAAAGGATTAAGCATTTGAATAAGCTTACCATCCAGTCCAATTTTCAGTCCAAATTTTTGGGGTGTTTGGATTGTCTGGAGTGAATTGATCACAATAGTATCCATTGCATGTGTTCAACTGCAAAAAAATTATAATATTAGTTTAATTAAGGACATATATTGGTGATGAAAAAGATTGAAAAATTAATACCATTGGTTCGGGAGCATCACTCTCTTGGCACATAATCCATGGAACTCCAACATCGAGTGATTCAGCCATGCTTGCACACCAATTAAGGTATGCTTTTCCAGCGTCTCCATACGACGAAATGACATTCCCATATTCATTCTCGATTTGTGCAAGAATAATAGGACCTCCTTGTGAGGCAAATAGACTCTCTTTTTTAACCATATCCACTATCAACGAAGTGAAATTTTGCATCTCATTCTGAAAATTATATAACCGCACATTACAGTCATACATAATACAAAAAATCAAACAATATATATGTAAGTGAAAGTAATCGAGTAAATTACCATAAAAACAGAGTTGGCAGTGCGCATCTCAATATCAGGCACATTATGTAACCACACAGGAAATCCACTGGACATTTGTATAATCTAATGTTACAAAAATTTAATTAATAAGGAGAAAAAATGACTTGTAAGTTTGTAGGTACCCATAGTTCCACTCGGCACAAACATAAGGTCCAATGCGAAGAATAGCGTAAAGTCCTTGATCCTCGATCGTCTTCAGGAACCTTATGAGATCATGATTGCCACTAAAATCATACTGACGACGAAGGGGCTCATGTGCATTCCAGAAAACATAGGTTTCAATAGCATTTAGTCCTCCCTCTTTCGCTTTCTTGATCAAATCCTGCCACATCTAAATTTTACAGGAAAAAAAAAAAAAGATTAGAAGCAAAATAGTTACTGGTAAGAATCGTCATAGTTATGTTATTATTATACCTGGACAGTGCTTCGTGGATAATGAATCGAGCCAGAAATGATGAGTTTACGCTGGCCGTCAATTGTAATGGCTCGTCCATCGTGAGAAACTTGAGCAGCAAAAGCACTACATAATAAAATCAATAGTGAACCCACAAAAAGCAAATGAATTTTTGAAAAACTCATTGCTAAATCGAATAGAAAATAAAAAAAAAAAAAAAAGTATAGGATGTGTGTATACTCGTGGCTCCTGCTATCTATTTATACTTTTCAAGATAAGATATTTAGTTGAATTCAATTTGAATTCTTCTTGAGTTATTCAATCTTATCACGAAACATTACATAATCTTCTTTCTCAGATATTTACATGCACAACAATATTCAAACTGACAGAGTTGTAGTCTACCTTTTGCATATAATTTTTGGATTCTGAAGAGGAAAAAAGAAAAAGAAAATTATGTTCTTTAAATTTGTATTTTTATTTATAATTTTAAAAAATTATTGTAATAATTTTTAATTAATTGTAAAAATATTCTATCGACTTATTTATTTATAGTTCAATCCAATTAGGTTTTTAAGTTGGCATAATAACAAATACCTTGACAAACAATAAAATTCGACTCAAATAGATATATATCAATAACGTGACACAAATAACATGGAATAAAATTAAAAATGGCATAAAACTAAAAGGTGTGTCGAGCATTTGAAAAAGTTATAGATGCAGGTTACTTACAAATTATATATATGTTCAAAGATAAAATAAATATTTTATTTCAAAAATCAAATTTTTTTTTTTAAATTTAAATTTTTAAGCAAATCAATCGGCATTCAGATAAGGATATAGATATAGTAGTTTATGTCAAATTCTTAACCAAACAATATTTCAGTAACTTCACACATTTTAAAAATGTAAATTTCTGGTCGAATTGTGTATTAAAAAATGTAGTGCAATAAAATTATTTTCCCTTTTTATTGAATTAGGTGTCAAATCTTCATATTAAAGTTTAATTATCATAAAGCCCCCATTTAGTGTTAAAATTAAATAAAAGTTTTAGTATATTATTGATAAAAATTAATAAAACATATAAAGTAATGAATCGCATGAAATATGTATCTAAATTTTAATTGAATTTTAATCCAAAGCAAACATCACGGCTTTTATGTTGGAAGTGTTTTAGATTAACTATGTATGTAGAGTAACGTGGTACAGAGCCCTAAACTTTTCTTCGATGAAGAAGACACATTCATCAGAATTTGTCTACAAAGCCCAAAACACACACACACAGATTGGGTGTTTTTACACTCCTTTCAGAAGGAAACTTCAATGGATTTGCAACAGACGATGACGTTATTAGTAGACTGCTAAACTAATAAGCTTCTCATATTTATTTTGGCAAAAAAAAGTTTATTTCTGTAAATTTCAGATACTTCTTATTTACCTGTGTTTTATTGTTTATATATTTTACAAAACGGAGAAAAGATGTTAGCATAATTGCTTTCCTAATTTTTCATTGCAATGCATTATGTTGACATTATAATCTGATTTGATTTCTTTCTTAACATCATTTGTTTGGCTAGTTTTTATGTATCTTAATTAAAAAATGTGTTCGTAAAAAATAGAATTTGATCTACTTATAAATAATTATAAATTACAAATTCTCTCGAAAATTCACAATAATTTTATTGAAGATAGAAGTTTATGTAGTGTTAAAAGATTTTGACCGCCATATCATAATCTTGAATTCGAGTCCAAACTTAAAAGAATATATTAATTAAAAGTTGTTAATGTTTTGAATTCAAACAGTTCGGCGAGTATAAAACTGATAACAATATAAAATAATATTTATTTCACATACTATGAAATCGATTACAATAATTTTAATATTTTAATTAAATCATCACGGCACAATTATTTTAGAAATATTTCATATTATTTAATTCACATGTGTATTGTTTATTTATCATTTAATACACCAATATATATTTGTCACTTCACCATTCCTCCATAAATCTAATTATAAAATAAGCTAAATATAAAGTGCACGTCTACATTTGTATTTGTATAGGTTTTGTTCGACAATTATTATTGTATAAAAAGTATAATTATATTTGCATCACAATTTTTATTTCTTGCACCACATTTTAATCACATTTGAGGAATCATTAATCGTTATAACACTTATGCTCTTAATGATTTGTCATGTCATTCTTTACGATTCTCAATAAATAGGAAATAGTAATTTTTTAAAGTTTATTTAAAATCAACTAGAGTTTCAATTCCTCCCAAATGCAAAAATGAAAATTAATTAAATTTTTACAGATTAACTCTACTCATACGAGATACGTAATTCTAAAATTTCATTAATTTTCGATATGTAAAAATGTCGTTAAGAACCCCATAAAGTTGCATATCTTAAAATTCAAGATTCAAAATACAACCAATCAATCATGTAATCACACATTTAAACATACTATACTGGAAGGAATTCAACTTCAAAATTTCAATACAATGAAAGAATTTGCTTCATACTAGAAAATAAATTCAATTCAATCATTCTTTCTTGAAAATAAGAATCAAGTGGTTGAATCACCTCACTGTTTGATATCCCAAATTATGCATTTTGTTGCATTCCTATGGTCCCAATTTTAATCACATGGGAGGAGATTATTATCCACACCTCATAACAAAAGTATGGTTAGACACTACTCAATTTTGGTGTAATTTTCTATACGATTTTTCCACCTTTTTTTGCAATTTTCTCTCTCCCAAATTTCAAGACAAGTTATGGAAGTTATTGGAAAATAGGAGGTTGCAGGGAGTTGTAAATTTGAATATCAAGTTCAAGCCCCTCCATCCTTTTCATTTTAATGTCTAACATGTCGGGTCACCTCACATGGACAATCCACAACTTGTATTTTTAAATGCTCATAGAGTACAGTTTTAATAAGACTAGTGAACGCACATGCGCTACATGTACAGTGATTTGGTTTTGTGGGATTTCATTGGAGTATCTTTAAACATCTTCTCTATTCGAACAAGCTGTGGATCTCGTCTAAAAGGTGGATTCTCTTCAAAGACATCAAATGAAGGCCTTAAACTCTGAAGACGGCATGGAATGAACTGATTTATATTTTCAATAAATTCAACAAGGCAAATAATAAGTACAAAAATTGGCAGGTCACGTTAGAGCTATTTCCATATCCCAGCCGGATCCCATGCACAAGATCATGGAATATGATAGTTTCCTTATTATATTCCTACCGGATTCCACACACCTATTACAGATCCGATCTCCTTGATCTTGTCTAAATTGAATGTATAGCTTATTCCATTAGCTTGATTTTAGGGATATTTCTATTCATTTCCTTTCATTGTAAATCTCTATAATCGTGTGTATATATACATATCTTATTGAGTATATTGAATACAAGGACATTTTCCAAAATTATCTGCTCTTTTATGGTACCAGAGCTCCTTGCTTACATACATTAATCCTATAACACTGTCCCTATGGTTGAACTAAATACTTTCTCCATTACTTCCACCTTCGTCACCACCACACCCACCTTTACCCATAAGACCACCACCTTCTCTTTTCCCAATATTACCCAGCTCATTTCCAACAAATTAGATGATACCAACTACCTACTTAATGATCTTTTTATCACTGGTGACAATCGACTAGGGCAGCGGCTGGTGGGGTTGCACTAGCATTTTCTCTCACCCTCCTAGTGGGTACATTTTCATTAGAACTCATCTTTGTAGGTTTCAACTTCAAAATTTTCCAACTAATGGGGCTTCCTCTTGTTCCTTTTCAAGAACAAATTCTTTTTCAAGGGGGATGCCCAAATGTCATTTTTCAGTAAGCTTTCACTACACGGTTACTCATGGTTATATTGTGAATTCTCATAGACGGCACCAATCACTTGACCTCATTTCCGATTGGTGGCCATGCAGATAACAGATATTGTATCCACTCGTGCACACCTAAACCTAATCCAACACACTAAGACACACAAGCGATTTGGAACGGTCCGAGAAAGGGTATGAGAGTGGCTCAAAGTTGTGGGACGACAAAATTTTGGAATCCAGTGAGACATTTGTAGCGCGATTGTACGATAATTACCAATTGCGTTTGTTGATTATGTATGTAATCTTGATGTATTGCAAGAGAATAAATGTAATGTATCGTTTGTATTTGTTCTAGTATTGAATCTTGCATTCAAAGTTGCATTAACCTTACAATTGTAGTATGGGGGAGTATTTATAGTAATACAAAGTGAATTGTGGCCCTCGGATGGGAGTATAGTTGATCTCATCTCCTTGATTCATAATCTAATTCTAGCCATCACTATTGACTTGATAGCCCATTTTACATTTATTAATTGATAGAGCCACCATTTTGGTTAACAAGATTTGACACTTAAACTTTATGATAGACGTCCCATCAATTATTCGAAGAAGATACATGTGTAAAAAAGGATCTCATGGTAGAAGTGATGGTGAAGGGGCTTCGGCGCATGGGCCTTGGATTGAACCACTTTTGGTAATGCTCTTCGGACCTCATAATGCTACGCTTCGATTGAAGTGTTAAGTCTGGTTGCCTTCCACGGGCTTCAAGATCTCGACCGCCATGCTACGTGTTCCAGCTTAAGTGGGCCAAGGGCTACAGTGGGTCGGTCATGTTGAGCCACATGTGACAAGGCATAACATAGTAAATCAATGAGCTCAACATAAGCTGAACAAAATGTTTGCTTCAAACTTTCACCTTCCTTATAAAGCACAAATCTAGACTTTTGAACAAGGTGGTCGATGCATTAAGTCCCAGGCAATTTGCTATCAACTATGGATATGAAAGTTTTAGGCTTTGATATTCTCAAGGAACATCATGAGGATGATCCATACTTTGGACAAATTTGGACTGATTGTTTGCAAGGTTCATCTAAACAATTTTTTATGCATGATGGATTTCTTTTTAATTATAATAGATTGTGTTACACAAGGATCTTTATGAGAAGCAATATCAATGAAACTCATGGAGAAAGGCTTGCTGGCCATTTGGGAAGCGACAAAACTTTAGCGTTAGTCCAAGAAAAATTTTATTGGCCTAGAATGGATCTGGATGTTGCTCATCATGTAAAGCGTTGCAGGACTTGCCATGTAGCTAAACGTCAAGCTCAAAATACAGGGCTCTACACTCCATTAACTGTACCAGCAGCACCA